ACAGGACTCGAGTCTGCTGCACTCCCCGGCCACCCTGGATCTCTATCCACCTCCTTCACAGGACTTGAGTCTGCTGCACTCCCCGGCCACCCTGGATCTCCTGCACCTCCTTCACAGGACTCGAGTGTGCTGGACTCTCGGCCACCCTGGATCTCCCTGCACCTCCTTCACAGGACTTGAGTGTGCTGGACTCCTCGGCCACCCTGGATCTCCCTGCACCTCCTTCACAGGACTCGAGTGTGCTGGACTCCTCGGCCACCCTGGATCTCCCTGCACTGCCCGGCTGCACGCTCACTTGGTTGGTGCGCCCTATTCCGGGCTTTTCCTTTAGCCAACGAGGAGCTCTCCTTTCCACGCTACTAGTGTCCTCTGCACAGTTCGCAAGTTCTAGGTTTCAAAGCCTCCGGCTTGGATTGGGGGGCCTGAGTCCGATTTCAAGGTTTCTGATTCTGTGGACTGAATCGAGGGGACCTCCTTGCACGGTGGCCAGCCATGCTGAGTCAGTGCATACAGGTGCACGGCAGCCCTTTGGGGGTTGAGCATTGGTGACAAAGCCTGGATTGAACCACTGACACGGTGGTCCATGGTTGATCACCGTTGCCGCCACCGCTGGCGTACAACCATGTCGCAACAAGAAACCTGCATCGAGACCAGCATTGCATATGCCCGGTGACACGCCGTTGTGATTACACGACGGAGCTCACATGGTTCGGTGGAGATGAAATTATGCGGGTTGGTCTTCGTGGTGCACGGTGTACTTGCAGGGTGACGACACTATATTACCTTCCCGGCACCGCAAAGCATAGTGGAGTGGGGACCGCCATCATGAAGTCACGTAGCGGCAAGCTTCAGAAGGCAGGCACCAAACACATGAATTGGGGCCCTGACTGGAAGATCGATTTCCGAGCGCCTTTCATCCCCAATTCGGTGTTGGCATTTGCCCCGTGCTGGCACAGTTGGCATGGCGTGCCCAAGGTAAAGGACAAGGTCCAACGAGATACGCTGCAAGGCTTCATTGTCAGCTCGAAAAGGACTGAGAAGTTTCCGTGTGGGAGCGCCTGATTCCGTGAGGTGCCAACCATCAATTGGATCCATCATTTCCCTCAACTTAGCGTTTTGTTATATCATTGGTGTCCTTTAAGCAACACGTGGCTGGAAGCGATCCTGTGCAAGCACCGTTTTAGTCCTTTGTCAGTTGGAGTGAGTAGTATGAATATGAGGGGCATGCGCGTATTTCCTTATATATGTTATACGACCGCAAAAATACATGTTCATTTGCTTCATTGATGAGTCGGCTTGCGTATTTGGTTTTCTACCCGACTGAGGGGTGGGGTACTACCGCTGTTGGTAGAGCAAGGAGAATGGGCTATGTGGTATTGGTATCCTGCTGCTCATCCTGGCTCCATCGCTTCTGCTTTGTTCCTCCGTAGTTTAAGAAGTATTAGCGGCGACGAAATGGCCCAACAACAGGAGGAAGCACAGGAAGAATGGAGAGCACTCCAGGAAATGGTACAGGACCAGGAAGCAGCGCAAAAGGAAGTACACCAAGTGAAGGAATGGAGGAGGGCCTCGATGGAAAAAATACTGACAGCAACACGAGAAAAGCCAGAAAAATACATGCAGCACCTGAAAGGTGATAAAGCCATGCATAAGCTCTCCAATGCATACTGGAAGAAGGGAACAGAATACCTAAACGAGCATGACGTGACAGTCCTGCTAAGATGCCGGGCGAACAAACTACCAGCAGGACCATACAAAAAGCAGCAAGGAGGGAGAAGGCCGCAAAAATGCAAATGCTGCGGGATGCCCAGACAAGTAAACGCGGGAGGATTCATACGCACAGCCCATGTGCTGGGAGGATGCACAGAGAGGGAGATAAAGAACATGGTAATAAGCAGGTCGGATGAGACCACCAAAATGATAGCAAAAGCAATTAGCAAAGGTAGGAAAGGAGGATGCGTAATAAGAACCCATGCGGGGAAAAAAGGGAAAGGAATGAACAACGGAAGGCCAATAGAAGACTTCCTCCTCACGAGGGGGCAATGCAGACTGGACGGACGAAACACACCGGCACCAGAGCACGGAAAGGACACCATACCACACTACGTGGACATAGTAATGCTTGAGGGAACTGAAAAGGGGAATGAGCAGCCTGGGTACACACACCAAAAGGCAATGGCGGAAGCGGGCCACATACACCTGATAGAGGTAACATACACAGACGAAATGAGTTGGGAGGAAGCACTAAAGACGAAGTACACAAAATACACACCGCTGGTAAAGCTACTGGAATTATATGGCTACAAGGTAACGCTACACGTGATGGTATTCGGCAACACGGGAACGATATACGAACACACGGAGAAAATACTGACCAAACATTTGGGATTCGATAAACAGGAAGCTCTACACCTACTCAGGAAAATACACGACCTAGCGACAGGATATGCAGTAAGCCTAAACAGACTATATAGAACAAAAGTAGACAAGGAACCAGACTAAGGAACAAAGAAGAAAGAGTCAAGGGGACTCACAAAGCCCCACACCCCGACCAAGGGTGTCTCTTTTTCTTTTTCTTTTATTAGCGGCGACCCGGTTTATATTGATCTTCAGGCTTATGATGAGTTATTAAGGCATTATCCGTTACATGTTTTCGTGAGGTGACATGCACCTACTACATATACTGCCTCTTGGCATAATATATTGATAATCCACACACACACACACACACACACACACACATGTTGAAATACCCACATCTAAGTACTTCCGTTGTAAATGCGCACGTGGCCTGGACGTACCAAATATCAACTATCAACGAGTGCAAAGTTAATGAACTGCTATTACAAATGGCTAGCACAAACGCGTCACGAACGTGCTGATATTGATGTGTAGGAGTCTGTATCTCTTACTTTATGGTTCCAATAAAAAAATTTAAAGCTCCCTCAGGAGGAGCATCCACTCGTGGGTTTCGGCCCAGGTCTGACGGTGAAGCCAATAATAATAATAATAATAATAATTAGCTCCCTCAGGAGGAGCATCCACTCAGGGTTTCGGTCCTCGATGAGGAAGTCATCCAAATATCCAACAATAAAGGGCCCTTGTGCCTGCATCCATCGAACAATGACCCGAGTGAAAATACCCGGCATAGCCAAGTTCCCGAACGGGGCCCTGGTGGCACGCAATCAGGTATTACTCGTCCCACCGGAAGGCATGTGTCATCCAGTACTGAGCTGCCACCGGAACACTGCGGTAGGCTGCGGTGAGGTCCACCGTTGCCATCCAGTACCCGGAGACGGAGGAGTGTGTAGGCAGTCTTCACAGAGGAAAATTTCTCTTTATCGAAGTTCAATCCTAGCGTTGACCCTCGCATCTTCCGGCCAGGAATAATCTCAAACTGACCGGAACTCAATCACTCGATTCCTCTCCTTCTCGACAATCCCGACGGCCGAGAAACCTTGCACTTTCCAGTGCATCCGAACAGACACCACATTACCGGCCAATTTTTCCTTTAACAGTTTCATCCAGCATGGCTGACCAATGGTCATCTGCCACGTAGTTTTCGACCGTGTAGAAAGTGTCGGCTGGTACTTCCCGGAACGGAAACCCCACACCGCAAGCAGCACTCCTTACCAGAAAAATAGTGTCGGGGTCCTGCTGAAGAGCAGCAGCCATCCTGTAGGCGCGTTCTGCCATCAGGGGAACAGAGGCACCCACATTCCGGAGCTCGGACACAAACTCCTGCGACTGCTGGACCGAATTGCCAGCACCCTGCAAGGAGTCAACAGAAGTCCTGGACCAAAGCCCCTTCAGCAGAGGAGGTCATCGGACCGAATCGGTGACCGGGGCAGGACAACAGCCCAAAACAGGGTCCGGATGCACGAATGAAGAATCGTGACAGGGCCGGCAAGTAGAGTCCCAAGCAATCATAAAATGATGAGGACTTGGGGCCCGAGGAGGACCATCCCAGGGTCTCTTAGCGCCAACACAGGGGGAAATTGCTCGAACGGTAGGAACAGTGGTCCCCTACCGTTTAGCACCAGGAGAGAGCTTCAACAAAACTCAGTCAAACCTGAAAAAGGAACCTGCATTAACCCTCTCAGAGAAGGGGCACGGGCAGGTTCATCAGAAATCACCGAACACCCTGATGAAGTCAGGGTTTCGGAAGGTGGCCCTGAACAAGGGATCAAAGAAACAGACGGTGCTTGATGAGCACCAGAAGAAACATCCCCTGTCAAGCTGCCACGAACCTCAAGCCCCTCCGCCGAGGGGAGGATACCCGACCCCGAAGGCAAATCAGTTGAAATAACCGAAAATCCTAAATCAAGGGCTACGGGGGGGTGGTCCCAAACGCGGGGCCAAAGAAACCTCCAGTGCCCCAGCGGCACCCACCAAATCGTCCTCAAACAAAACACCACGATGTTCGAGTCCCCCCACCCCCAAAGGGAGAGGGGCATGACCCCGAAATCAAAGAAAAGCCCATGCACACATCCGCAGAGTCCCCGATGCCCGTTCAATGTGTTCATTATGTAACACATCAACAACATGTTCCATATTTAACACAACAACATTATGTTCCGTATTCAACACATTGAATATGTTCCATATGTTCCATATGTTCCATATGTAACACATTAACATATGTTCCATATTTAAAACATTAACCATATGTTCCATATTTAACATATCAGCATGATGGCTCATATCGAACACATGAACAATTTACAGACGACCTGACGTGTTACATGGGAATGATGACGTTGTGGTATGAAACGAATGAAACGAATTTGTTCTCGGATGAAACAAAATTAGTGTGCGTTTCGTTTTAAGGGTGTTCCATTTGCATGTGTGCGACAGTGCTTTTGTTAGGGATCGAAAGATGGCAGATGACAGTCGCGATGTTGGTGCGTCATCGATCGATGTCACAGTTGATCTTCGATCCGCATAATTATCAGAACTGTACACGTACCACAAGAGGATCGAGCTTGTATATAAAAGAAGCTCCGATAGCTTAGTGGTAGAGCAAATGGGCGACAACCATGAGGTCACCGGATCGAAACCGGCTTGGAGCATTGCATCCAACGGTGGTGGATCCGTCCATGTACTACGGGTCTTATGATAGACAAACGGAGTCAGAGACGTATTGTATATTTTATTTGATGAGTCGTAATGTACAACATTTTGGCATCGTATATAGCACAGCATTCCACGTGATATCAGATATGCAAAGAATGAACGGCAGTGCCTCTGGTAGGTAGTCTGCAATAATTGAATACATCCAAACGAACGTGTAATAGGTGAATATACCATATGACCATATGACCATATGTTAGGGGCGCAGATCCAATTGCTCGTTAATATTGTTGTCTGCAATATGTATGTGCGGTGTCCACTAACTTGACTATATTTATAGGCGTGCAGGTGGCCTGTAATATGTATGTGTGGTATCCACTTGTCTACGTTCATTGTTTCGTTGCGAAGTGAGAATGCACAGTCATCCTCTCATGGCGTCACATGCCGCTCGACGTTATACGACATTAACATCGCGTGAGATATAATTAAATGAATATTCATTACTGCAAGCATAGTGTAGTAATCCAAGTGTATATGATGTATATATTATCGTATACTGTTACGAAGTTGCAAGCATCGATGTGCCGTAGCTGATAACGAATTCGGCGAAGCGTCGTTATTCCAGGGGGACGACCAGAAGACGTAAAAGGGGAAAGACACGCATCCGTACTGTAGTATGCATGCGTGCTGGTGACGAGCCCCTGCGTACACGTGACCGTTGTCCGGCGGGGTAATGTAGCTGAATCGCATCCATACAATCATCAACCGTCGGTTACGCTGAATTGTGAGCATGCGGGTTGGTGGTCGGTATCGTTACCGAACCACGCACACATGAATTGATGAAGCGTACCTATCGCGCTCTTAGCGATGTGCTACCCCTACAGATCTGCAACCCTTGGGAAAGCTTTCCATAGGCATGTCATCCCTGTGCCCTCCCTATGCCCGCCCTTGGGAACGCTCGGGAAAATCCGGAAATATTTTCCAAAGGCTTGGAAAGTTTTCCATAGGGTATTTCCATAGGGATACCCCCTTTTGGAGTTTCCATAGGGTTTCTATAGGGCTGTATGCCTATGGAAAAGGACGTTCCATAGGCATGGAAGGCCGTATAATCACCCTATGGAAAAGTAAACATTTCCATAGGACGACTATAGGCATAACCAGGACTATGGAAAACCCTATGGAAAATGTAAACCCTTCCATAGGGCGGCTATAGGCATAGGGGGCCGATGGAAAGCCCTATGGAAAATATAACTTTCCCATACGCTTTCCATAGGCATGTCCAAGGGCGGGCGTAGGGCGGGCGTACGGATAGCGCACCTATGGAAACTTAGCGTATACTATGAGTTTTCCACAAGGTTTTCCATAGGGCGGGCATAGCGATAGTACACCTATGGAAATGTACAATTCGCCCTGCGTATTCTCGGGAATAAAGTCGTAATTCCATAGGGCCTTCCATAGGGATGCCATAGGTATGGTAGGCCTATGGAAACGTATAATTCACTCTGCGTATTCTCGGGAATATCAACGTAATTCCATAGGGCTTTCCATAGGGCCCCCATAGGGACAGTATACCTATGGAAATATACAATTCATTCTGCGTATTCTCGGTCAATAAAGACGTAATTCCATAGGGGTTTTCCATACGATTCCTTCCATCCCTATGGAAAACGTTCCATAGGTATGGACGCCACAATCATCCCTATGGAATGCCTTGGAAAACCCTATGGAAAGCACAATCACCCTATGGAATGCCCTGGAAAATAATGAAAACCTTCCCAAGGGTGAGTATAGGGATGGAAACTCAAATTTTTTGTTTTCGAGATAACCTCCAGTATCCATTTTCCCTTTTCCATAGGGCTTTTCCATAGGGTTTTCACCCGTTTCCATGCCTATGGAAAGCTTTCCCAAGGGTTGGCGATCTGTAGGGTACGCCGACGTGCGAAAGCGTCGGGCGAAATTCTTTGTTTGAGCACTGCCCCCATCGATTTGCTTGCTAGTTGCTAAATTAGTCACGTATCTCCTAACGCGTCACCGACATGGCTGTACATCGCGCACTTCACGACGACGTTTGGTGTGAGGAACGAGACGTATTATCGAGTATGTACGGGTTCGACCATCTGCCTGCTAGCGATCTGCAGAGCAGAGAAGGTGTTTACAAGTTGTGCGACATTATATCACGATTTTATGTCAACCTAACGCGCATATCAACGGTGAGTGCAACCACGGAGAGTACGCAACCAATTAAAAACCGTCTGTTTGTGATAATGTCGTGTTGGCATGACTCGTGCGTAATTGTGCATAGTCGGAGTATTATTATCGTTTTGACGCAGCAGCGCATGGCGCTACCAGTTTGAGGACTTTGAGTTAGTGCAGCTTGGTTTGTATCAGGCGTGTGTGTTGCATGCGTGGTAATGTACAGGGTGAATCTCGAGTGTTAGACGATAACGAGAGATGACACACGGTCATTTGAGCGTTTACTCGTTCTGTATTTCATGCCGATGGCTGGTGTATGCGCGACCGTTTCAATGCATACGGGCTAGACCTAAAATAATTGCCGTGAGCGGATGCATAGTTCCGTGTGTGCACACGAATGCACGCACGCGCACATTCACACACACCCAACCATGTAGGTATCTCGTAATTGTATAAGAGTTGTATGTGACAGGTATCATAGCATACATGTCGGTCGATTCGTTTTTCATTGCATCTGATACATTAAATTACACTCTGGCGTACTACAATCTGATACATGCAATTGCTTGGAGGTTGCAGATGCACTGCGCATCCATGTGCTATACTGAATGAGAATAATGGGAATAACAAGTAGACGATGTTGCTTCATGTCGATGCTGTTTCACTTCGTTGTATATTTATGTGTATACGGCACATGCGGGCAATCACGAGCCCATTCCACCCCATTCTAAATATCGCAAACACCTCTGTGATGAAGTCAGCAGGCGGGCTTTCGACTTGCTAGATCCGCTACACCTAATACAAAAACGAAGAATGTCCCATATATAGTCGCCGGCACCTGTGTCAAGGCAAGCTTATTATATGTCGTAGAAAAGTTGGGGAAAATCATGCACCGGTGTGTATGTGTGCGTGTGTGTATGTATTCATATAGTCTATATATATTCCATATATGGTCTATATGGTATATTGAAACATACTGCGTAAGTGGGTGTGCTACATGTTCTTCCGGAGCAAAATTGACTTGTTCCCGGAAAAAAAAACCAACGCCTTTTTGGCCCAAGTTACTGCTTGTTCCAGGAACAAATTGGCGGTGTTTTGTTGCGGGAACAAGTAATGTTCCTGGGGAAAGTGATATTCCTGGGAAAAGTAATGTTCCGGGGAAATGTAATGTTCCTGGGAAAAGTAAGGTTCTGGGGAAAGTAATGTTCCTGGGAAAAGTAATGTTCCGGGGAAAAGTAATGTTCCTGGGAAAGGTAATGTTCCTGGGAAAGGTACTAGTTTACCTGTTCCGGGAACATGTCACATTTCCTCCGCAATCAAGAAAATTCCCTAATGTTCCTGAAATGAGTCAGATTTGCACTGAGGAAAAAGAAGTGCCCCTGTTAATCGTACCAATCCTGCGCAACTCTGATATGGAGGATGTATGCAATGTCTGCTGAATAAGCTACGCAGCATAGAAGATTGTATCTTATTGTCGCAGATTCGTTGTGAATGTTTGAAAGGCACGAATATAATCGGAGAACGTAGGTGCGCTTATGGTGTGCATCAGTCATGATCACATGCACCGTGCTAGTTGTTGAAGCAATTGAAGTATCAAGTGTATTTTATGCACGCGCAGCAAACTAGTCTTCTCGGCTGGACGGATGCGGATGTTCGACGTCTCCTGGGAGCTGTGGACATCATCGCCGGGAAGCGCAGGCATACCATCACATGGTTTCCAGACTACGGCTGCTCTATCTTTGCAGTGTGTGGCCATGTGGGGTGTCACTATGCTGATAATGTACATATGTACGTGATATGCCTGGATGGGTGGACCTTCACGATACACAGGTGTGGATGGTCTGAGCTCGAAGGCGGGTATATGCATAGCGGCGTAGGTGTTTTCTTGTTACATCTGATAAGTGTATCCCACATGGCAGTCTTACTCGCTGGCAATAACACGCAATCGCTACCGATCAATGAGTGGTGTGCAGTAATGTGATAGTGGGTTTGAATGTTGACGGAGACATTGTATGCTATATTTTACAGTGCAACATGCGCTTGTGCTACTGGATATGATCGGCTGACATGCCGTTCACTGCAACAGCGTGTGCACACTGTTGTGCATGTAGCATAAGATATATAGGTATATACACGTATGTGTATTCTCCCTGTCGTACCGTGCACGGGATCACACAACACGCAAAACAGGTAGGGGCACCAACTTAAAAAGTGCCCTGGGAAATTTTAGGACGGTAGCAACGACTGCGAGGGGGAAAAACACATAAAATTCAACCTAATGTAGAGTCAGAGAGTGTCCCGCATATATATATGTGTGTGTACTCTCTGTCACACACACACACACACACACACAGTCACACACACGTGTGTGTGTGTGTGTGTTAATATTTGATTGATTAACGTTGGAGTGTTGACTACTTCGAATTTAACAAGTGTAGTTCAAGGTGCGAGGTGTGAACATTTCGTTGTTCACTTGCATAGAGAATTTTGGGGACATAATCTATCCTGCACCGTGTCGGTATATATAGTTCTTTCCCTTTGCAGTGATTGATGCCGTCCAGATGTTTTCTGGGGCCTACTGTTTGAGTAAGCGCCTCTGTTTTACATACTATGATCCGTTACCTGGTGTGGCAGAGAGTACACACACACATATTTGTATTTACATCTATATGAGGGGAGGGGGGTCGAGCTCAAGGAACGGTTGTTATCAAAATGAGATCGCATATAGGTTTGTTACTATGCATACAGTTCTGATATCGTAAACAATTCAAACAATCACGTCAATATACAGTTTCGGTGATAATCT